AACTTTAAAAAATCTGGATAGGTTTGCTTTGATGTGGCTTAGAGTATACAAAGATCTATTATCTCCAAGCAGAAAGGTAAAGGGAAGTTTTTCCTCTTTGAACTTCTCTAGATGGTACAATATTGCAACCCAGCACCTAAAAGGGAGACCTCGTTAACAAGAGAAAAGCATATTTATATCTTTAACTGCTGATATCTGTTCATGCCTTTAAATAGTACTGACCTATTTATTCTATTTGCAAAGGAATTCTGTTATAACCTCAGAAAATTTACCGACAGCGGCAAGAGTATGTTCAGGCTATTTTATGAAGTGATTGCAGGCTCTTAGTAGGGGAAACCCAGCTTGCAATATTCTTTATTCTGAAAAGGAAAAGTCATTGGTGCTCTGTAAAGTCGCAGGAGAGTGCTGTGCAAGTTACTCTGCTTGGAAGCATTTTCAGAGCCATCATTTAAGGCTGGATGACTCGTAAGTACTGACACAGGGCCGCGTATCAGTTTTAAGTCAAGCCCTACCAACAAGGCTCTTGTCTTTATCCTGGTCCTTATCATCAATTACTACACTAATTTTTGCTTTTGAGCACAGCTACCTGTTTGACTACCCAGAAATTAATTTGAAACTTAATTTGAAACCTTGGAAAAATACCATCCTTAGAGAAATTTAAGAGAAAAAAAAGGTTCATTTCTTAATAATTCTAGGCCTTGGAAAAATGTACTGCCATCTTGCTTCTCAAAGTGCTGTCTGAAAGTGAAAGTGAAGTTGCTCAGTCGTGTCTGACTCTCTGCGACCCCATGGGCTGTAGCCTACCACGCCCCGCTGTCCACAGGGTTTTCCAGGCAAGAGTACTGCAGTGGGTTGCCATTTCCTTCTCCAGGGGATCTTCCCGACCCAGGGATCGAACCCAGGTCTCCCGCAATGCAGGCAGACGCTTTACCGTCTGCCAGCAGGGGAGTCCTGGTGCTGTCTGTGTACCAGCAATTAACAGCATCTAGGAGTTGCTAACCATGTAGGATACCAGACCTCACCCCAGACCTCTGAATAAGAAACTGCATTTTAACATTTGAGATCCCAGAGTGGTTCAGGTAAACATTAAAGAATGAGAAGCACTGGCTTAGAGAAACGGGAGAGAGAGATTTCGGACAGGTGGTTACTGTTTGGTGTCATCAGGAGGGTGGTAACTAGACATAAGTGAGACATAAGTGAAGTGGATACCAGAAAAGTCTGGAATCAACTATTAAAATAAGAGTGGGATTTTAACAATAGAGGGTATTTCATAAATAAGATCTGTTTTTCTCTGGGGTATTATTTAGACAATTAAACTCATTTTAGTTTTTTGAGGAGGTGTTCTTAATGTCAATTTTAATGCCTATAAGAGCAGTCACTGTGGCATCTATGTATGTATGAAGGAAGGAAATGATGAACACACGACAGGTATCCAGTCCTGGGAACAGCTTGGGTTGAGACCTACATTGGAGTAGGGCTTAATAGATGTCAAATCTTCTGGGGGTGGCCACTCTCAGACCACCATGTCTTTCGATGGGAGACAGAGAGTTGCATGGTTGAAGCTCCCCTTTGATGATTAGGAGCTGCCTCTTTAATAAGAAGGAACAGCTAGTCATTGGAACCAAACACAAGGGTTCAACCTTTTGTTACAGGTATTTAATATCATGTTCCTTCCAATCAATCACTCTAAGACTTGCTTATTATTATCTGTGTTTTACTGGGCTTTTATCAGCAGATGTCAGTGGTCACTTCAAGGCAGGTTCTGCGGGCTCCGTCTCTTCTTGTTCCTACTGCTCTTTATTCCTCTTCGATCAGCCTTTTGTGTATATGTTTGTGTATGTGTGTAGGTATACAATTTCACAAAAGTTGTTAAAAAAAAAGGTTTGAGAGATTTAATTTAAAACACATGGAAATCAGTAGCTTTTTAAAGATGACTGTTTAGAAAATAACAGTATTGTAGTTGCCATCACAAGCACAATCTATCCCATGATGCCAAAAGAAAAAGTCCTTCCTGACTTAATGAATAATATTTTTGCCTGAAAAGAAAAGTCCTGCTCTCAAGTATAGATTTTTTTCCCTGCATCAGAATTATTCTTCAGAGGTTTTTCCATTTACTGCTCAAAACCAACAATTCTTGATTATAGAGATTCTTGACTAACAGAGCTCTCTCTCTCTTTTTTAAATTTAGGAAAAATATTTTTAAATCCTGAAGGACATGAATCAAAAATACTCCTGATGTGACGTTAGTCTTTAATAAAACAGACAATGTTAGAAACCAATCTGGAATTATATTTCACTTAGCATAGCATAAGAAAAGAATAAAAGTTAAAAGAACCTAGTTTCCAAACAGAATGTAGTTTTCAAAAGCATTAATGTAATGTATAGTTATGTCATTTTCCCAGTTGTGGAAATGGGTGGGTAATAATGGTAATGAATAAAAAATATAAAAATGAGTAATGTTTTAGTGATAGATTTTAATCTGAATTTTCTTTAAAACTATTTTTATTATATGCAATATCCATTCTTATTTGTTGTTAATTTTGTTGAAAATTCCCTATTAAATAATCTCAGAAGTTATTGCCTATCAGGGTTCTGAAATATGCTCAATATAAAAGCAATAAGTCTTATTTCTCATTGACTTTTCAACTCTACTGTCTTGTCTAAAAATCAAAGCACATCATAGACAGTGCTCTTAATCAGGGCTAACTATCCAGATTGTGTTTCTATAGAACGCTTGATCCTAAAGTCCTCCTTGTTTCCATTTTTTTTTTTTTTTTGGAGTTGTTTGCAATCTATGCATTTCAATGCTTCTGTCATGACAGAAGAAAAATTAAGTAAATGAAGGTTTATTTTTCTATGTTCAGTGGCTTCTATTTTCCTATCATGTCTTTAACACCATTGTGGAAGGGTAATGGGTAATTTGGTAGAACATATTTTTTAAGGGTTTATCTGTTGGGTGAATATTTTTAAAAAGTCAAGTACATACACACCTGGTACAGTGAATAAATAGATTTTCTTAAAATATTATTCCATAATAAAGGGCTATTTCCAATGGTAAAGCAATTAAATTCAATATATTTTTTTTTCCTGAGCCTCTGTACAAATTCCATTGAACTGATTATACAGACCTTTTTTGTTATGGTGGTTGTTTTGGTTAAATAGCAACTTCCTATTCAGTTCAGTTTTGTTTAGGTTTTTAAACTGAAAAGTTGTTTGTAAACATAGTTAACAAAAGTACTCATTTTAAAAATTCTGAAAAGCATAGTACTCTGAAAAGCAGACCACTAGCAAAGACATTGTTCGCCTTTTGAGCTTTCCCAATCTTCTATGTTATAAATTATCTGTGTGGGTACTTACAAGGTGCCAAATGAATGACTGAAAAGGAAAATATTTTCATCATTTATCTACTTGATAGAAACACCTTGTTAAACTAATTCATTGCCTAATTTATCCAGTCACATGACATGGATTGGGTATGGTTTGTATATGTGCCCATGTTATTACATTCCCCGGTGTCTATAAATAGCTCATTTGGGGTGCTTTGTAGCAGGGGCATGTATATGAGAATACTATAAATGAGTCTATTAAAAACCTTTTCCAAGTCAGAGAATATTCATTGTGCATTGATATTTCAAAACTGCTTTTCTAATACCCCCATCAGATTAAAATACTGTTTAAAATAAGCTACTTAAAGCAGGGGAAGGTACAACTATAAAATACAAAATTTAATAGTCACACTTTTTAATCTACTCCAACTCAATATATTTTAAATATATGTATTTTTTTCCCTGACATACCCTAAAAAAAAAAATTCTTAAGCCTTAACATGCTAAAATAAAATGACACAATAGTAATGAAGTGAAATGAACTGACAATTCATTTAGCCTATCACTCTATAGCCTTTACAGCTACACAGTGGTAAAATTCCCAAAGGCTTTAGTCTTTAAATTGCTAAGGCTATCTAAATTTCCACTGCCGCAATACATTTTTCTTTCCCGTAAGTGTAATGAAAATGGCATTTTTCTCAGGTAGATCTAGCTGTTCGCTGAGTGGTTTGTTCTAGAAAAGCAACAGGCTTTCCCCCCTACCTTATAAGAAGCAACAGTTAGAAACTCTAACTAGAAAACTGCTACCCCACAGTGGTTGGAAACAGCCAACAGAGAAAGAGACATTATGATTTCGATCGATGTTGAAACAGCTTCAGAAGGAAGGAGGCAATATGAAATAAAAGAATGCTAACTCTTGGCGATGAAAAATTGCGCTGTGTTCCCTACACATTACTGTCGCCCTCTGCCTTGCGCTCCCTGTTCCACCGTAACTGATCATCGGGCTTTCCTCCGCATGCTTCGGTGTCTAAGGCAAAACCAAGCTTGGTTCAACTTAAACTCGCAAGATGCAGCAAGACAAATCCATCAACCCTCACGTGGGAAAAATGCAAGCCTCTGCCCAGAAGCCGGCTTGTACTTCCGCGCTAGCAGGCCAGCAGGGGCCGCGGCCCCAGCCTGTTGCACCTGCCGCCCCGGGTGCCGGGGCCTGGGAAGGGCGAGGGCGCCGGGAAACCTCCTGCGGGCTTGGGTGCGTGGTGCCGGGCCCGGCGTGGGTCTGGCTTGTTCGCTGCGGGGACCGCGACCGGCGAGGAGGTGGCTGCGGGCCGCGGTGCGGGGCCCGCGGGTGCAGGCCAGCCGGCCGCCGGCAGATGGGGCCCTGCGCCTCGCGACACCCTAGGAAACCCTGCGAAGTACCGCCGACTCCGCCCCAGCCGCTCCGCCGGCGCCAGCCGCCCGTCCTTCCCCAAATAGTGCCGAGCACGTTTCCGCCTGAACACTGCAGCAGCCCGCGCCGGGGCCAGCAGGGCGTGTGTGCCAGAGCAGGGAGCGCGCCTGCAGCGGGATCCCGGCGCCGGGCCGAGGTGACCGCCAACCAAACGCAGAGGGCACGGGGACCGGTGCATTTCGCATCTGCGTAAGCGCGGCCGCCCGGCCAGTCGCGAGGCCACTCACCATGTTCACTTCGGAGACCATGTCTATGCTGGCGACATCGATCCTCATCCCAACGTCCACGGGGGGCCCTGCGGGGGACAGGGGCACATTGTGGACATAACCTCGGAGCGGCCACAGGCCGCGGAGGGGCAGAGGGCTTCCCGGCGCTCACTACATTCTGAATGGGTTCCCACCGCCCCCGTCCCTCCACCCCGCTGCAGGGGACAGCCCCAGAGAACAGGTGTGGGCACACGCATGATGCAGTGACTATGCAGAGGGTGTGTCGGGCCGGCGGGAGGTCGGCTCTGCCTGGGCTTCGTCCACCTGAGCCTGGGGGGCGCGTATTGAGTGTGTGTGAGCGCGCGCGCGTTTGGCCAGAGCATAGGGCGTAGTGCACGCTGACGAAAATGACACGCTTCTCCTAATTTTTTTTGACATTTATCTTCGCCAGGAAAGGAGAGCTAGATATGGGTTACAGGTTGAAAAAAAAAAAAGATGAAGCATTACCTCCAAAGTCCGGCCGCAAGCGAATGTCATATCCTTTGAGCAATCTGTCCACTGTCTCTTTCACGTATGACATGTTGCTGGGCTCGTTGGCGCTGAAGGGAAGAAGTAGGGACCGGATTCAGAATGAGCACGAACTGCAAGCGGACATAAAAACAGACAGGCACACCTACCCCCCAAATGACGAGCTACCGGAGCCAGCAAGCCCGTTAAAAGGAAACACCTGGGGGAAAAAGAGACATTCAACGGCGGCTGCTCACCTGTGTGCACAGCAGACCACGGCAATCATCACAGGGAAAGAGAGGAGCCCCAGACTCTCTCGATTTTGCACTGTCCACATTACTAACTCTGATTAAAGAATTGTCTTTTCTGCGAAGATTCAAGCAATGCAACTTAGTCGGCGGCAGGGCAGTGATTCCCGAATGGACCTGCGCATGCGCAGAGGGTGCCTACTCCCGAAAGACACCTGGTGCCTTGCAAACAATCTTCCTAGCGGAGCAGGCAACAGATTTCAGTTCCTTCGAAGTTCCTGTCTGCGATGCTCCGCGTTCTGCGGTAGTGAAGACACCCTGCCGTTTCTTGGCTTCGGACCCTACGTGCATATGAACACGAATCTCTCTTTGTGCTATGTTCATTTCCTTTCTGCCTCCAAACCGATTTCTGTACTCAGTTCCCAGGGGTCTGGTTTAGGCTGCCTGTGATTGGCACATTTCGTTGACAGTCACGGTAATCTTCGAACTGGGCGTCTGGAGGCGAGGTGGTTCTCTGTGTGCGTGTTGTGTGAGTGACGGGGTGAGGGGAGTAAGGGGCCGAAGTGAGTGGAGGGCGAGAGCCAGAGCAGCTCCGGCTTATTTGTTCAGGCTCTCCTGAAAGGGTGTCTGGCTTGGCGTCCTCCTTCTCTTTCCCAGGAGGAGGAAGAGGAGCTGGCCGACCGTTGCAGCTGCTCTCCGGCTCCCCCGCTGTCCTCCCTCCCCTTTCGTGTCTCACCAGGCAGGAGAGGTGAGAAGCCAGCCATGAGCCCGCACCTCGGACAGGCAGTTCTTTTTCTGACTCATTGGTCGCATTTTCTTCTAGGTTCTAGTAAAGAAAATATCTTTTTTATTGCCGAGTGTTAAGCTTGTGTCAGTAACCCAAAATAGGACCCTGAAACACCGAGAGGGTCTAACGTCTGTTTACTGGTTCCGATTGGGGTTCTGGAGGAACAAAAGCTATTTGAATTCAGTTCAGTCAATACAATTCGATAAAACTCACTGAGCATATGTCAAGCAGGAATCCCTTTGCTAGGCATTTGTTCATAGATTAAATCTTTTACTATGTTCTAGGAATTCTGGGACTCAAAGACAACTTAAAAAGGATTTCTGACGTTGGGAAATTCACAGGCTTTTGGGAAAGATGGATGTAAATATATGTAAATTCAGTATATCTCAATATAGTTTACATAGTGGCAAGAGGGTTGTTAATTCTACCAAAGTGAAGTAGACAGGGTTTCTGGAGAAAGAAGTTTTTTGCCAGAGCAGAGAGGGAGGGTAATTCCAGAAGGAGGGAAGAGAATATGCCAGAGACTTGAAAGAGACTGACAGACTATGAGACTTGAAAGCCTGTGGTCTGCTTAAATAGCTGAACCCTGAAATGACTGAGCAGAATACAAAAGGCTGAAAGGAGGGAGGGAGGGAGGCACTCAGGGTGGTGAGGGAGCAAAAGGAAACCAAGGCTAGACCAGAAGGAAAGCTCCATTCTCCACTATGCACTTTTAAGCTTCTGGAAATCACTCACAGCTTTAAGTAGCGATGGTCAGGGTCAGATTTAGGTTTTAAAATGTTCTGATAGAATAAACATGGTAAGAATGATTAACCTTCATCAGTTGTGGACTATTTGCTGGTTATCATGTACATTACATAGATGATCTCATTTAAACCTTGTAGTAATCCAAATGTTATTACTATTACTGTTATTATAATTTTATAGATGATGATACTAAGAACAAATCAAGGTAATGTAACTAGTTTAATACCAAACTGCTAATAAATAATGAAATCAGCATTTTAACTCAGAATCCGTGGCCTATCTGCTGTATTCTATGAAACATAGATCCCAAGAGGAAGAAACAGAGATGCTGAAAACAAGAAAGAAGAATTATTACGGTAACACCAAGCAAAAAGAAATGAAGTCAGATAGTGTTTAGCATAGAGAGGAGGTGATAGACCAGTACAAGTTTTCAGAAATATAATAGAATCATCAAGTAGTTGTGAAGGTCAGGATTTGCAGACTTTTGAAAGTGGCCTAAACAATTATACATACATTTACACATGTGTAGATCTTGACATTCTATGTATATATTAATTTTATTTTTTCTTTGAGGCTCATGACAACTATAAACACTATGGCCTTTTCTTCTGGCACCAGCATTAACTCAATCAGTTTTCTTAATTGACTTAAAACTGTGTTGTCTACCTTTTTTAATTCATGTGGATCTGCTTTTAATGAGTGAAAGAAAGGATTTGCTTATGCTACAGGTCCTGGTTGAAGCATAGAACCCCTCTGTGCTGCACAATGCTGCAAAAGCTGCACTGGAGAAAATAAAATATATGGAGAGTTTATTTTACTCACTTATTCCTCAAATATTTATTGAACATTTACTAAATGTCAGACTCTATACTGGTGGTACAACAGCAGAAAAGAAGGCATACAGAGTCTCCTTCCACATGGAATTTGTTAATTGACCCATTATTGGAAGTTGCAAATTGTTATCCTTGGTAGTCAAATTCAGTTTGTAAAAGATGTCATTGGCTGAGTAATATTCCATGGTGTATATGTACCACAGCTTCCTCATCCATTCGTCTGCTGATGGGCATCTAGGTTGCTTCCATGTCCTGGCTATTATAAACAGTGCTGCGATGAACATTGGGGTGCACGTGTCTCTTTCAG